AGAGGAAGCAAAAGAAAGCCTGAACAGACCGTTTTAGTCAATGGATTAGTGAAATTGAGCAACTGAAGGTACTCAAACAAGGGACACTACAGTGACCTGTGACACCAGACAACTTCCATGTGCTGCCTCACTTTATTGCCACTTTGACATTGCCCAGGCTTAGCACAGGAAAACTGTGGAAACACATCTACTAGCTCCTGTTGCCCTGACAGTCATTTACAGCTAAGCTGCACAGGCATTAAGGCCTGTAAGCATCATGACACAGCTACACACTATTTTCAACTCCTAGTGCCAATGACTGCAGCAAACAGCAACCTTCCAAGTGCTTCATTTGGTACTCATCACATGTTTCCACGGACCACATGTACCTGTGGCTTCACTGAGACATGTGCAGGGAGACAAAACGGCTGTTTGGTTTCAGATGGTGTTTATCCTTACAGCATAAGGACACAGGTTTGTATAGGAGGAAAGTGAGATATTATAGTAACTGTACTCTCCTGTTACATTTCCTACACTTTCTGTACCCTATAACATTGATGTAGAGTATTTTTAAAAGATGTCCCAATACTTCCCTCCCACAAGAACTGCTGATTGCCAATAACACCAACTGTCATTACTGGACCTTGCAGCCCTGCAGAACCTCAGTTAGTATTTACTGTCGACTACAAAAATAATACAAGACTACCTAATAGTCTCAGCGTGTTTGACATAAACAGATGCAAAGAATGTGGAAAGTCTCCACTAAAAGTGTAGCAAAAATGGCACTTCTTAATGTAGACAACATCAATTTTCATACAGCCTTTAGTATCTCTCTTCCCAAAAGGAAGAAAAACAGAAATAGACAGAAAAGCTGCTGTAATCTACCGAGGCCTCCTGCTTCCCTCTTTGGGAAGTTTTGGCCAAAGTTACTGGTAAATCATACTTAGTAAAACGGTGAAGACATTTTAGACATTTTATCACTCCCTGAGCATTTAAAATAAACTCAGCTGAGAGCAGCTTTCACAACACCACTTGAAGGTGTTGAAACAGTTTGAGAACAGGATATTTTTTGAAAACAGAATATAGAGAAAAATGAAATTGTTATTAAAATAGGTGCTTAGCACCTATCACAAGAGCCAATGATGCTTTCCTGCAGCAACCTGCCAGTACTTTGTTACATTGCAAGAAGGTGGTTACCTCCTGCCTTCCTAGATTTTAAGACACTCCTAAACGTTGTGCCCCTTTATTATTTGCTACAAACCCTGCCTCTGAATACGACTGAAGATGAAAACACATCCAACTCAGGCTTTTCAATTTTGTCTTTAACAAAACCCTAACAAACGAGATGTACAGCAACGCGGCCACTGCATACGCTTAACCTGCAGTGCCCAGGACTGGGCCATCAGCTGCTGACATTAACAGATGCAGATCAACACTTGTTCCCCACAGTCACTACCACCCGGGGCCCAATTTCACTTTCCCCGCGGTCCATCCCTCCCTCTCCGCTCCAGCCGGCGCACACCAAGCCCGGGA